TGGCGCGGCCAACTGAATAAAAGGTCTGGGCCCCTAATGGGCTGAAAGAGCCATTAAAAAAAGATTCATCGCCTTCAACAACTGAACATATCTGAGCTAGTTCAACGGTCTTCGCGTTATTCGCTGAGATAAGTTTTAATATTATCTTTCTAACTACGTTTATATCTCCAAACTTGTTATCTTAACATTAAGTTTTCCTAACGAAACTCTCACCCATGCTTGATAATCTCAGTGTTATGCTATTTTCTCCATTTATGTTACTGTATTAAATAAACTCTACTAAACGTTCGTAATTAGATGTAAGAGAAGTCCGAAAAATCATTAGCCATTTAAAGTAAATGAAACGTAAAATATGATACATATATGCCCATTCGTACATTTTGACATGAATTTTCGATCTTCTGCATCTCTGTCGTACATCCGCCATAGTTGTTTTATTGGTGCACGTCACTTCCTTAGCCAACATGTATAGGTGTAACAGGAACGGCGATGCAGACAATAAATTAAACATTTCCTGAAAATATGTCCTTTCCTAAAACTGGTGGTCGGTACCTTGCGGTATCATACGTATATCGAGTGCTTCAGGCTGAATTCTGATATCTGCATATTTCTTGAAACAGGTGCTGAAAATATTTAAATTTTCTAAAATTTCCGCATAATATTTATTTCAAACGCCAAAATTATATACTTCCTGATTTCATTTTATATGGTTCCTGCCATATTTTTATATAAAATTTGTTGATACCTACAGCTCTTATAACAATAATTTACTAAATATTAGAAATATTTCATTAACAATTCTCTTGTAACACATTTTAAAATAATTTACGCTTGATTCATCCTGCGGACGAGAAGAAGTTAATTTTTCTGACAGGATGAAAAGGATGCTCATAATAAGCTAGCCCTGTAACAGGCCGCAGAGGTCCATAGAGTTGTGAGACATCGAGGTTCCCACGTCTTATAGACAATCGGCTCACAAATGGCGGTGATATCAGCCTTACGCACCGGCCGCCCTTTACCCTCAGGAATATTCCTGGTACTCATTTCTGTTAGAGACTGAGTCGACCCCAAAACCATAGTGCGGTTGGAAGGATTAGGTGAATTGAAATATGCAATGGACTTATCAGGAATCGAACCCGCACCTTCCGGTTTGCAGTGCCTCAACCAACTACGCTACTGAACCTAATTGTCCTATTTTGTTGTATATGTTTTGCATATGACTTGAAGTGAGCCTGAACATTTTCTAATATAATGACCGGTTCCAGTTTCGGGAAATTAAAATTAAGTAAACCGTATGGGACTAACGCGAAAGAGGTGCAAGCACCGGCTCCATGTAACACCTACAGCTACATGCTCACACAACCCACCTCAGAAGCAACGCCGTGCCACCCGTGCTCCTCCGGACACCACGAAAGACTGCTACTGTGTACCTCAAGCCAAACCATCGCATCTACACAGGAATCGTTGGGAGGAGCCCTATAGTGATTCCTCAGGCATCTCAAGGCGACTTCAACACAATGAGGAAAAGGGAGGGTGGGACTCTTCTCGCTACTTTACTTCATCTCTCGTGCAGTAACCAAATCGTAACCAGCAGTCATGATCCACAGGAAGTGACGTGTAATCATGTCTCAAAACTGATGAAAATGTCTGGAGCTCAGACACGCCAAGCAATAGCAGAACAGTAGCATTATACAGCGATAAATTGTGGGCTTCACGTTTCACTGCTGTTTATGTACGGGAGGTAGGGACGAACGGGTGGGTTAGCAAACTGAATCAACTGCTTTGGTTATTTGCCACTGTGTTTATATACGTTAAGAAATCAAAGCAGTGTAAGTATTACCTTCGCTTTCTATATAATGGTTATGTAGACATGGACTACCTCCATGGAGCTGAGCCCTTCTTGAGAAACCACCAGTCGCTAAGCCACTCAATAATATCCCAAAAATTCATGGAACGCGAAGGTTCAGTACTGTGTTCACAAGAGCCCTCCACTGGCCACCTTGGGCCAGACCAATCCAGTCCATACCACCCCATCATATTTCTCTAATATCAATTTTAATATTAACCATCCACCTACGTCTTGGTCTTCCTAGTGGTCTCTGCCCGTCTGGCTTTCTCACCAATATCCTTTATGCATTTATCTTCTCCCCCATTCGTGCTACATGCCCTGCCCATCTAATTCTCTTTCACTTGATCATTCTAATTATACTTGGAGAAGAGTACGCGTTATAGATCTCCTCATTATGTAGTTTTCTCCCGCCTCCTGTCACTTCAACCCTTTTAGGTCCAAACATTCTCCTCAGCAGCCTATTCTCCGATACTCTTAGTCTCCTCCCTTAATGTCAGAGATCAAGTTTCACACCCATACAGACCGACAGGCAAAATTATATTTATGTAGATATGATTTGGTATAAATTAACGGTTTAAGTTCGATTATACAGCGTCGTTTCTTTTAGGCCACATAAGATACTTAGGCCTAAATCTCAACCATCCAATCACCAGAACCTTGTTGTTAGAAAGAGGTGCACCACTGTTCGGTACGATTTGCACCACGGTAAGGAACGTTTTCCCAGACAGGCATGCTGAAGCTGAAGCCTGCAAAGCATTACACAGCGATCGAAAACAAAGTAAAGGTGAGAACTAACTCAACTAACGCCGAGGTGTGGCGGTTTGCGCTCGTGCTTAGTACCTGAATGGCCGGCAGGGAGACATGGACATCTCTGTATGCGCTGTCTCGGAAACGTGTTTTAACAAACCGTTGTCCAGCAATGGACGCCCTCTCAGATATTCTGGCGGCACGCCACAATACATTCAACACAGTTTTTGACGAATAACAGCCACATCATGAGAGGGTAAAAACACAGTGGATTCGAATGACCCACCACACATCGGAACCTTCAACTGCATATGATGAATTAATTTCATATCTCCATAATTTTATAATACTATTTCAATATTTGTTATTATTTTTAATACCTTTAACATTTTTACTTATTTCACTCGTGTAGTATCTAACGCTTTACTCGTATTATGAAATCCTATATTCGTAATATAGATCACCTTTTGAGTACCTCCACTAATATTTTGTATATAAATTCTTGTATACTCTAATATTCTAATATTGTTCTATACTGTAGTGCTCGTCATAACACAAGGCACAGTTTTCTACAACCTCTACAGCATTTATAATAGGGACACGTTGCACCACAATATGCATCCATATTGAGATTTCACTCAATTTTATCGTATTTATTATAAACACTGCCTGATGATGGTCCCATGAGGACCGAAACATGAAACGGTAAAAAATAAAATTCAATCTATAAGATATTGATTTTAATTGTGATACCATTTATCCTTGCTGTGTTGACGGATACGTTACCTAACCATATATCCATGTCTTGAGTGGGATTCGAACCCATGGTCCCAGCGTTCGACAGTTCAAGCCTTACACCAGTGTTTCTCAAACGTCGCGCCGCGGCTCGGTACCGGGCCCTCGTCTCATACATAAAAGAATTTAAGGTGCCGCGGCCAAGCAAAAGTTGAGAACCACTGCCTTAAACCGCGCGACCACCATGATCGGCTCGGTAGTTGACTACAGTATCACTAAGTAATCAACGAAACGTCGTTCTTTCTTTCTTTCTTTGTTCCTTTCATTATGATTACTAATCACTGACAGGGTTCAATACAACACCCTTTCTGATAGGATTGTCTGTAACTATTTCGATAATATGATATAATAAGTACATCGGCTTATCCAAGTAACATTTCTGCGTAAGTATCAAGATGAGCCGTAATGCCTCGTGCGATATCTACATTTCGATTGTTATTTATAGTCCCCTGTTCAATATATCAGTAAATTATACACTGCAATGTTATAGCTTACACCGTAATGTAGAGCGATATACACGTGAACATAGTCAACCGTTCAAGAAAGTCACTGCTAATCTGAAACTAGAAACTATGTCCCTTTACCCCCAGTTATTCATTTCTGTTAGAGGCTGAGTAGACCCCATGGCCATAGTGCGGCTGGAAGGATTATGTAAATTGAAAAAATCCACCTCGCCGGGATTCGATCCCGCGACCTTCCGGCTTGTAGCATAGTGCCTCAGCCAACTACGCCACCGCGTGCCCCAAATCATGTAGTACACTCTTTAAATTTTCGTTCTGTGTTGTAAAGCCCCAGTAACAGTATGATCTAAGCATTCCTTCCGCTTGTTGACTAAAAACCTTGACCAATTCTACAAGGAAAACAAGACTCGTAGCAGGCTGTACAGCCGAGAAGTAGAACACGGATTTGAAACAACACGAAAATTGTCTTAAACCTATCTGGATTGGCAGCATCAAGATTCACTTTTCTTGAATCGATCAACATATGATAACGTGACCAAAGCAAGGTCGGCAGGAACGCGTCTTGCCTTCTAAGACAACTATTGTACATGTCCTTAGATAAACACCTCACTTTAAAGACAGCTGAAACAAGGTCACAGCTATTCTTATGAGCAGTCAATTCACAGATAGAAAACTGGCCCAATCCTCGCGCGTGGAAATGTTCGGTGATTTGGCGTTCATTAATGTATACACTGTAAGTCATAACCGTGACCTACATATGAAGCACAGGGGGAATGTTTTGCAGATATTCATATATATTGTGGCATGTCTGCTAAAGCCAGAATTGTGAAACCAGCAGCAACAGCCGATGCTAGGCAATGGCCGCAACAGACATGCAAGCCACAACAGAAGAGCTGTTTGAAGTTGTGTTCTCTGTGTGGTCCGTGCCGAGGCAAGCCAGGCATGGCTTAAACTTGGTGGTGGTCAAGCATACGACCGTTCAAGTAACAGACAGACAGATTTGTACATAAAATATTAAAACTGTCGAAGTAAACCAAGACCCAATACATGGAGCACAGGTTGAGAACCAAAGAGCAAAGGTACACACATCCTGGTGCAGAGTGAAAGATGGATAGGCCTTGAGCCTGGATTCGGTTTCTAGTACTCACCTTTAACCGATAGTTGACTGTTAAAATTGGGGTCTGCCGCACCGTTCACAGACGCCAAAGTCGTTCGCGCAGTGGTTGAGGTCTTACTCAGGGTCGAACCTGCAACATCATCAGACACTTCTGTGACTTGGGTTAGTCGCTGCAACTGTAAAGCGACTGGATATGTGAATTAATCAGGTACAAGAAACATAATTTTAAAAGACGTCACCTCCGTTGCATCTTTCATTCCTATATCAGCTGGGTTCTGCCACAGCACATAGAGAAACATAATATTGTCACGTGTAGACGGGTTTTGGATTGGGTGATTGGATTTATTGCACCTTATACATTCACACAAATCGGGACTACAGGTAACACAGCGCCACAGCTATTCTACGCACTTTCCAGTTCACTGTTGCACACGCACTAGGGTTCTCAGTCTTCACTAGTCGTATCCTGGCAACGGATTTATAACAGTCTCACTGCAACTTCAGATCACATATGAAGTCTCCTTTTCACGGCTTAATTCCTTTCTTGCCATTGTTCTGCAACTGCCAATTCCGAAGACCCGATTCTGCTCCCAAGCCTGGAAGGCTAGCGTCTCGAAAGTCGACTCTATTTTTCTCAACTACACTCTGCTTTATAACCACTCTGGATGGACCACGCATAAAACAGCCTCTCTACTGTTGGGATGGCGTGCTAACAGAGCCACTGCATAGCAACGGAAGTTTCTCAATTGCTGCTTGCATATTCGTTGCCGCGGGAATGCCTTTATCGAGTCGTTGCCCGCAATGAACGTCTATTCTGACTTCGTTATTCCGACTTTCGGGGGTCATGTCACAATATAATAAGCAAGACTAGCACAGCCGTTTTTTGGAGATGCTGCAGCAAGCGCTCCATCTTCATACCGAGGGAAGTCTGTTGTATTCCCTTGGATATCTGGACACACAAGTCTGCTGGGGAATGAGACCGCCCTTGAGGCCACTAAGAGAGTCTTTCTGCCCGAAATATAACAATGGACCTGGTCTTAATCAACGACGTTCGTGCCTTTCTTCTTCATGCCGATTTGTCGTCGTGGCTGTAAGAATGGACACACACAGAGGGGACAACAAACTACGAGTGATGAAATGTCCGTGAAAGTGGTGTTCATCTAATAGCTCCATAAGGCGTGAGGAGAACGTCGTCGCAAGGCTCCGTATAGGTCACACTAGTCTTACGCAGGGCCACCTGTTAGGACAGCCGGCAGCTGTTTGCAACTAATGTGGTGTCCCCCAAAACGTTATACACATTCTGCAGAAACGACCACGTTGTGATGATGAACGTCAAGAATTCCATCCTCATAACATCTTACGATATGACTGCCGCAACGTATTCCTTTGTGGCATTTTACCTTCAATGGTCTTCTTAAGATCTCACCGCCTCGTATGTAGCCCATATTATTAAGAATTCTTAACCAAATATTTGTTGTTATACTGTGTTTCATAAACCTTGTATCTTCTGAGACACAATGCCGTGCAGTCAGCTGAAAGTCAATCGACGTTTCAGAAGAACATGTCGCCTACACCAACAGGGTGGAAGAATAAACCAAAGTCTTCTTTTGGCTTATTTTGGACTTCACCCATCGTCTGGTATGTAAAAGACAAAAAACCACGACGTTTCAGAGACTGGATCTGTCTCCGTCTTCAGGTGGATAGGGAAGGATAAACCTACTCAGTTGGGCCCCTTAGAAAGAGCTAGTCTCAATCACTGGACAAACCCCTGTTACTCTATCTGAGTAACCGGTATGGACCCGGTATTTACCCTTTTTAATCTATCAAGTCTTCTTGCTAACTATTCCATGCTAGTTCCCTGTTTGGCTTATTCTTCGATCCCAAAGAGAAGGCGACATGTTCCTCCGAAACGTCGGATGACTTTCTACGGACTATACGGTGTTATATCCCAGAATACAGGGATCTTCGTAACCAACGCTATGAAAACCTCAAATTCAACACTGACTCAATTCAATTTTATCCAGGCGCAAAGAGCCATTAGTGCTGACAGGTCATCAAACCTTCTCTCTCCTTCTCCCTCTCCCCCCCTTCTCTCTCACACTAGTGTAGGAGTACAGCATACAAATACACATATAAGTGGGCTCTTAACAGGACCCCTGTACTGTGTTATATTTATAAAACAAATAACGGTATATGAAAATCTCAGGGCAAGGTGGCTTAAGCAGCAATGCTTCGATTTGTACACGGGAGGTCACCCTTTCGAATCTCTGCAGAAACACCAACAAAACGAACAGATACCTAACTGCCTTAACCCATAAGCAGCACTATTCAAAAACATGGAGAGGAGCTTCTCTGCAGATTCTACTGAAAAGATCTGATAATGACGTAAGACTGACAATGAAACATGAAACCTTCTACATTAGAGCAAAAAATTGTTTGACTGATCCTTTAACATACTCGCAACTCTATGTAACACAATGGAATGCAACCATCTGAATCTCACACCTGTCACACATTAACTCAAGCTTCGAAACATATTCATTATTATCCTTCTGCGACTTCTGTCAATTGTAGTTATTCAAAGAAACTTCTGACAGGAATTGAAATGTACGCCTATATATTTCTGTTACTTACGTTTCACTGGTTCCAGCTTGGTTTCCTGCGGGACGCTTCGGTGAATCCGTCGCTTGGGAGAGCCACTACATTCCCTGTAACACAAAAATATATCAGTAACATGCTAGTGAGGGCTGTGTTGTGAGAAAATTCGCGTCTTCTTTAAATATTTCGCGACGATTTTTACAAAATTCGCGTGGCCAAGTGTCTCAAGAAAAGTGAATAACATCAAACAGCGTTTCTGAATCTAAATCAGAGATTTCTCAAGCTTTTAAGGCCTGAAGTAAATCCAAATTTTAGCGGCCTCCGTAGTCTAGGGGTAACGTTCCCACCTCATGACTCAAGGTACGCGGGTTCAAACCCGGCGGAGGTCGTGGAATTTTTAAGGGCGGAAAAATTCAGGGAACAAGTCCTCCGGGAGGGACTTCAAGCCGTGGGTCCCGTGTCGTAGCTTTACGGCACGTAAAAGAACCTCATGTCTCCAAAGGAGGACACAGAGCTAAATTAAGGACATTTCCCGCCCAACAGTAGTCTCTAACGCCTCTCGTAGATGGGGGAAGCATTGAGATACCTCTGAGGCAGTAGAGGCCGACCTCGCTGGCTGAGTAGGGACTGATGGTAAGCACCATTACCGGTAGGGTATAGAGGATGGTAGAAAATTATAGGGGGACGCACAATAGATCAAACTGATCGCGGTGCATGGGGAAACCCACCCCCTCCAATAATAATAATAATAATAATAATAATATCCAAATTTTTGGGCGGCGAAATTCCCCAGGTTATAAAAGTTGACAATTTATTTAAACTTCATTGCATTTTACCGAAAAAAAATAGCTCAGGCGGTAACGTTTCTGATTTATAGTCAGGAGGCTCCTGTCTGAATCTTGGCAGAGATACCGACCATCCTGACAGGTTTTCCGTGGGTTTCTTCAGTCACTCCACGCAAACGTTGGGATTGTGCGTCAAATTAAGTTGCGACCGCTTCCTTCAACATTAACTCCAATTCATTATTCAGTATCACACAAGCATTCAGTGCTTCATAGTGAGAGNAGTGTTTCATTATGTTCGTCAATTATTCTTTATGTAATTATTTTAAAAAATATTATTCGTAAAATATCAAAATGTAATGTAGTGAAAGCCGGTCCCGGTAGCCGAACGGTCTAAGGCATGCACTGTCTTCGCTCGCTTGGAAACCGGGATCGTGGGTTCGATTCCCACTCAGGGCATGGATGTTTAGTTTGTGTGTGTGCGTTTTTCTGTGTTTGTGTACGGGTAGAGGCCTTGCTACGAGCTGATCACCAGCCCAAGGAGTCCTACCGAATGTGTAAGATCTAGAAAAACCGAAGTGAACGGAGAAGTTCATGGAGGTAGGCCTAGGCCCACTGGGGCTGTAGTGCCAAGGAAAAAAAATGTAATGAAAGGCAATAATTCATGTAACTTTGAAAATCTTCTCAGATGGATTTGTATACAAGGAATATCATAATAGAAAAGACAATGACTTCCGGGAAGAAATCATAAAAACCTTTTTTCTTGTTGCAGATATTTCTAACCTTATGGGTCTGCTACTATTGTTGTTACCTTCTTTTTATTTGTAAGATTTGAGGCTTTCACGGCAGTGACTATGAAGAAAGCAGTCTTCTGGGATTTGGCATCGTGTATATCTGGTGTTAACCGGTAAAAGTCTGCTTTTACCGGTTCTCACGGTCTCTTCGCTTGCGGATTTCTTATATATTTTTTCTACCCTGAAGATGGAGGCGATACGTTCCTCCGAAATGTCGGTTAACACCACATATACACGGTGCCAAATCCCAGAAGACTGCTTTCTTCTTTTTATTTCTTTCAAGAACCGACTACTTATGTGCAGATTCTGCCTACGTTAAATGTTTCCAAGTTTCACACCGTCGCCGAGTCTGTGCACAAATAATATTCCATACATAAAGTGTACATGTATAAAATATCACATACTTTGCTCCATGGTCTATTAGTTATCGCTATGAAACTGGAAGTAAGAGAGGAATTTTAGAAAGGCTGAAACGTTTCCTTATATTCTACGCACAAAGTTGCATATAACTCGGATATTCATTATCATAAATCATACTGGAACTAAATGCAGTTAATATCGATGCCACCTCATATGTTTGCGCCTCTAAAATATCATTAGTGATTGTGGGAACTAAAACGTAGGCGTTTGGCTAGTATCCAGTGGCATAATATTCGTATAAAGTTTCGTGAAAATCAGTGAGATAGTTAAATTTTGAAAGTGACACCGCACACAGACGGCCTGATGATATCATAAGCCTACTTTTCCCCCCTGAGAAAGGAAATTAGATTAAAAATGCTGAAGAGTGGATTAAACCAGTTTAGACCCCAAGTGTTCAAGCAGGTGTTCATTAAATATAACATTTTACTTTATACTGAGGAAAAAATTCAATAAAATGTTGCATCAAACCTTTTGTGTCAGAGATAAATGCTACAGACAGAAGTGACCATGCCTAATTTAATTACATCCGTAGAGAGAATTTCTGCACTGACGGGAACTTCGCATTTCAGCTTTTGTGGTCAGTTTCGTCCCATTTACTGCTGTGACGTGGTGACACGAATCTGGGGGGAGGGGCACAATTTTCCCACACATCCCAACCGACCTTAACAGAACAGCATCGGATCAATCACACGAGACAGCTATGAACAAGAGTGAAATGGCACAGACCCATTTTGAATACATGTGCATTTCAAATGGGTTATTTGCTATTTAAGTATCTGTCATTGGTACAGAAGACGCTTATTTGCTGTACTTATTACAATGATAGACAATCAAGACTAGATTCATTCATTAAATACGACAAAATCATTCTTGCAAGCCTATATCGTTAAACATGCGTCATATCAAGAAGCATGGATTATACTTGGAAAGAGTTCAATAAATTTAGCACTGAGACCCGATACTAAATTTAATAGAAACCCTTCCCCCTATGTCCTCATGACTTACTGCTTAATTAGTTAAGCATAAGTACAACTTTTTACCTTTACACTTCTGATTAGTTATGGATTTGAAACGTGGGGGCTGGTGAGTAAAATGGGCAGACGGACAGAAACGATATTCATTTATGCCACACACTAGTGTGTGTAACAGTAAATTACAAAGTGTAGATATAACGATAGCGCTATAATTACATGTAATTACTGGTGGCGTGTATAAGGAGTAAATACACCCGTTCATCCAATCCAGAACCCGCGTTATTAGTCACTAATACACGTCACAATATTAATTCAAGATAACATTAATACTTGCACACCCGGTAGCGTAGTTGGTTGAGGCACCATGCTACAAACTGGAAGGTAGCGGGTTCGAGTCCCGATACGGTGGATTTTTTCTTCAATTTACCTAATCCTTCCAGCCGCAATACGGTCCTGGGGTCGACTCAGCCTCTAACAGAAATGAGTACCAGAATCTTCCTGGGGGATAAAGGCGGCCGGTGCGTAAGGCTTATCACCATGCCGCCATATGTGCCGACTGTCTAGAGAAAATGTGGAAGCCTCGACGTCTCAGAGCCCTATGGGCCTTCACAGCGCGTTATAGGGATAGCTTTACCTTTTATGAATGACCTGTCATTTGAGCTGATCATAGACACGCAATTATAGCGTAAAGCAAGGAATGCGTGTAATTACATTTCGATACATGTTAGTTGTGAGTGCTAGGTTTAGCACGGGACCGGTGCAACCTATGTACGAATATTCTGTCCTCAGTTTCGTCCGATTTTCCTGCAAATATGTGAGAGCTCTTAAATTCTCTGAACTACACGATAGGCAAGCTACCGAAAGCCACTTACATTGATATCAGATACTAATTTTACTCTACAAAATGCCCTTCCAGATATTGCAACTCATGCCGTTACGTTCCTGTAAGAGGTGCTCAACATTTGGACGTAACGCTGTTTCAAACGAGTGTTGTTAATGGTGCGAGGTTTAAGAGGGGTGTCATGTTTCGACTCACATGATTGATATATCCGGAGTACAATTATACTGAACAGCGTGGTCAAGTGGGCTTCGTGGTTAAGTTGGAACATGGTTCTGTCATTTCGTCGTGAGTGGCTCTTCTCATAAAAATGACCATGTTCATCCTTTTCCAGAAAATGATGGGTTCATTTTAAATTACGTCATAGCTTTATTGTTGTTCAAAATATTGTTATGGGACTATCTTCTTGGGAATTGTCCATTATCTGTGGAAAAATAAGCGCGTAATTATGTGTCGCCACGAGTCGTGTGTTAAAGTGACCAATAAATCCAATCTCCAATCCAAACCCCGTCTAAAGTCACACTATAATACGCGAGAATACATAACTCAGCGCAAATTTAAAATAAACTGCTATGTTTATGACGAGCATTACTTTTCTTGGTCATTCCAAACAAACTGAAAGACTGTATCTTACTGCCTCCTCCTTACCTACATTTTCCATTTAATGAATACGTACTCACCCTGTCATCTTATTTTATGCAACTCTACATCATAGGTGTTGCGAAGTCCTTAAATAACCTACGGATAAATAAAATTAGGTAACTTAAACAGCTATGTGGTACGACCCTTTGAAAGTTCATGTTTACTCGCACAGCGAAGAAATTAATGTTTTCGTGGAAACCAAATATTTATTACCATGTACAAGAAATCCATCAATATTCAACAACCTTTTTGTGGACGGATGTGCCACTGTTGCACTCCTTGTGCACATGGGAACTATGGAATATTGCCCGCGCTCAACATGTCAGTCATTGGCTGTCACAAGATACAAAGGGTTTTTACTTTTTTGTACAAATGGACAACAGTGGATAGCGTCACAATATTTACACTGAAGAACAGTCGTTCGATAAAATGAATATTACAAATCTGAGTTAACGAAAGCGTTGTATATGAAAGTCAAAACCATGGTTGAAAGTAACTGGCTTCTGGCATGTGACATCTTACAAGTCTGATTCAAGTTTTCCGACGTTTCCAAAGAACGTACTGCTTCCACCTTCTGGGATGGAGAGAAAGCGAAGCAGAAAGCTTGCTGCGTGTTTAACTTACTCTTCGGCCCTGAAGATGAAGGGAGTAGTTCCCAAG